AAAAAACAACCGCTTCGGGTAGGATATAAACCCTGACAACAACGGCAGCAAGGTATCGTTTATCGCCACGCATCAACCAACTATGCCACAGCACTTATTGAAATTCATGCATCTTACTGGCTACTGGCTAGTACATGTTACTACCGATTTTGCAAGTACGAATATCCAAAATTTTTTAATTTTCGTTGACATATCTACATTTACGTACCAAAGAATATATGTGCGTAAATGCTTTTTCGCTCGTATGCATAAAGAAAAATGCCATCAGATACCTATCAAAAGATATCAAAAATTTTTCCAAAATTAAAAAGATTTTATTAAAATTTCTTTATTATATTAATATGTATATGTATTTAACAATAACAACTGAATTTGGCTTAATATTAAATTATATTAAAATATCAAATAAAATTATAAAAGAAATAAATAAATAATAAATGTAAATATATTCATAAATACATATGTATGTTTAAATAAATTATAATAAAATAGTTTTTATAAAATGGTCCATTTTACATGACTTTAGACAATCGCGGAAAAAAGTCGAAAAAATGCCTTAGAAAATCTTATGAACTTAGCTGAAATAGAAAAATTCATACATGTTTGCAAAAATCAATTTGCAACAATCAGCAAATCGATTTCACGCAAATATCATATTTTCGGCAAGCAAGCAAATGTACAAAAACCCGCTCCTTTCCCCGTTTCCCGCTTCTTACTCTACACTTCTCGTTCTGACTTCCATTTTTATACCCGAGCGCACTTGTGCACAAGGGTATTATAACTTTGTTCACATAACGGTTGTTTGTAACAGGCAAAACGAATCGAGATAGATATAGACAAATGTATACATAAATGATCAGAATAAAAAGAGAATTCGATTAAGCGGTGACTGTCTGTCCGTCCGTCCGTCCGTCCGTCCGTCTGTGCACACGATAACTCGAGTAAAAATTGAGATATCTTAACGAAACTTGGTACGTGAACTTCTTTTGGGCGTGGGACAGATGGTATTGAAAATGGGCGAAATCGGATAATAACCACGCCTACCTCCCATATAACGGTAATTTTAAGAAATACGAAAACTGCGATATTTTAGTAACTACTGAAGATAATTCACTCAAAATTGATACTTAAAATGAGTTTCAGACGGAAAACATGAATATTATAAATTTTTGGAAAATGGGCGTAGCCACGCCCACTTATGGTTACATGTGTATATCTTGGTAACCGCTGCACCAATTTCTTCCAAGCTTAGCACAGTTGTTGGCCTTAGTACAGCTTACTAAATGGCTGAAAATTTAAAAAATCGGACAATAACCACGCCTACCTCCCATATAACGGTAATTTTCAGAAAAACTGCGATATTTTAGTAACTACTGAAGATAATTCACTCAAAATTGATATTTGCAATGAGTTTTAGACGAAAAATAAGAATATTACAAAATTTTGGTAAATGGGCGTAGCCACGCCCACTTATGGTTACATGTGTATATCTTGGTAACCGCTACACCAATTTCTTCCAAACTTGGCACAGTTGTTGGTCCTGATACAGCATACCAACTGGCCGAAAATTTCTAAAATCGAACAATAACCACGCCCACATCCCATATAACGGTAATTTCGAGAAATACAAAATCTTCGATAAATCAGTAAATATTGAAGCTAATTTATTCAAAATTGATGATTGCAACAATTCTTTACCAAGAAATACGTTTATGACAAAATTTTGGAAAATGGGCGTAGCACCGCCCAGTTGTGATCACATATATGTATCTCGCTAACCGTTCTACCAATTTGTACCAAACTCGGTGTGGTTATTGTGCTTGCCACATAAAAGCAAACCGTTAAAAATTGTTGAAATCGGACTAAAATTGAGGCCGCTTTTCATATAACGGTAAATTTCAGATATGCTTGAAACTGCAATATTTCGAAATTTAAGGACGCTAATTTACTTAAAATGTATACACCCCGGCTTATCATGTAGCGGTAGCTTTCGGAAATTTGGAAAACATATATTTAATACTTGCGCCGGGTATTTAATGTTCGGCTCCGCCCGAACTTAGACTTTCTTACTTGTTATTTTAGAGTTTGTTTTGATCCGACACAATCACGCGCCTGCCTCCGCAAGCATCCCCTCTGCCTAGTGCTTATTATATTTCTGTTCCTCTTTCCATTTTCGTTCTTATTTTTTCATTTTGCTTTGAACTATGGTAAATTTGCTCAAAGTGTGGTGGCACGGAAAAATTTTTGGTATGGTGGCAGCCGACACTTCTCTACCGACACCGTCGGTCGAGCGGTGCACTCGTCGACGTGTGGTGCATTTGGCCGACTGCACCCCAAAATTTTTGCGCAACAAAAACGGTTACAGAAAATGCGCCTTCTGATTTATAGACGTTCTCTGCTCTGGTTTTACTGGTTGTTTTTTCGATTACTATACATTGCATTTTTCCACTGGGTAGTTACCCAAAAGACAACTTCACTTAGAAACTTGGAGAACTATAGATTTTTGATTTCTATTTTAAATTTATAAGTGCAAAGAGAGCCGTGAGAGAATCATGCTGCCATTTCATGTTTTTTATAAAATCCCTACAAATATGCCACACAAATATAATTTTTTGTATAAATTTAATTCAATCGATATTTAATTCAATTCAAATAAAAACAGGAAAAAATCCAAATTTTTTACGCGTAAATACATTTATTTTAATTGTAAATTTTTATCTATTTTCAAACCAAGCTAATTAAAAGTTTGCAATTTTACGTGTACGTGACACACTGAATAACGGTTTCTAAGTTTCTAGTTAAGTCAAGTCAAATCCAAGTCTTGCATAACCCAGCTTTAACTTGTGAAATGAAAAAGAGCTTTTTGTAAAACACAATCGTCCACATTGAACATCTGGGGTTAACTTTACTGGTTGTTTGATTTTAAATAAAAATTAAAAAAAAAAATATTCAAAATCAAGTCTGCTTCATGATATAAGCGAATACGGATTACTTAGAGACTTCAAAATGTTTAGTTCGTCTTGGCCTCTTTTTTGGTGGGAAGACATGCATACAATCCACAGATAGTGGATTATTTTTATGCATATTAGTAAAAGGGTGAATATTTCATCCTGCGTCTTATACAAACCGAATTAAATGAAACATTGAGGGAGTTTGTATTGTGACCGAAACATCAAATTTCGTTTTTTTGTTTGTTTAGTAAACAGTCAGGTAACACTGTCCTCTATTGAAATTCCGCAAAAGCTTTAAGCTTTTCTAACTATTTATAGCGAACTTCTGTAACTTACATATATTCAGTTTATTCAACAACCACTCGCTTAAATTATAAAGCTTTCCATCAACGAGCATCAATGTGTACAAAATTTCTCCTTGAGATGTCGCGCAGTTATATATATACATACAACAACCACAAGAATTGTGACAGGTTCGTCCGTTAGCCCACCTCTCTTTCGCTTTCCGCTTTCACTATGACATGTTAAATGGTTTGGAAACGGATGCTCTGCAAATGAGTTCATTTCTTTGGCACTTTTTATTTGAAACTACTGCAGCATAAGCATTATTTCTCAAAATTAAATGAATTGTGTTAATTGACGAAAAAGGACAATAGATGTAAAAGCAACATTTGTATGTATGGCTCTTTAGTAGTTCACTATATTTGCTAATGGTATAAGAGAAGAGATAAAATATTTCCTTTACATTTTTCGGCATTTTAAGAAACATTCTCAGGAGCACTCAGCTTTTGATTGGAATCCTTTTTAAGTCAATTAAATTGAAATGCATGTTGTACTACATAAGTATGTAATAAATTGCCTGTAATCTCCTTAGCAACAAACAATTTAAATGCAATTAAAATAGCACAGTTTTGTCAACCTTATTCCTTATGAATAAATTTATATAATTAGGTTTTTATTTAGGTAAACTCAATGAACACGCGAGTATATTTTTATACATTTTCTGCGTAAATGTACAAGTGTAAGCTTATGCTAGTCCATATCGAGCCCTAAACGCCAAAAAGACGTAATCGAAGTTTTTTCCAAAATTTAATTTTCGATGCAGAAATGCATCTGGATAATCTAGGAACATTTCTGCATCAAAAATAAAATCTTGAAAAAATTTCGCTTATGTCTTTCTGGCGGTTAGGTTTCCCTATGTACATATGTATGTACAGTCCCATTAATGTAAATTCTTTGAATTTTTTCTTGAAATTTATGCTGTTTATTTTTCCGATGTCGCCATAAATCTTTACAAATTTATGCTAATTATGGATGTTAAAATTAGTGTAAACTTGAAGTAAAAAGAAAAACAGGTATGTTTTTGTTGTTACGACATATGTTACTATGTTATAATGTTACTATGACAACAAAAACTGTAAAAATGATACATGAAACAGAAGAAACATAAATATGTTTAAGCTTTTTACAGCATATCTGTGCACTATGGGTAATTTCATCAGTTTTAGTGGCAAAAAGGAATTTCCTTTTTGTCCTTGGTATTTGATAAAGAAAACTTCAAATCAAATAAAACAAAACGAACGACCTTTGTTTAGCAGTTGGTTAAATTCGTTGTCTGTGTGTGTAGTATTGGAATCGGTTTTGTGTGATGTTGTTTTTGGTTATTTTTGAACTACATATCATATTTAAGTAAATAAAAAATTAACAAAAATATAATGAATAATGAAAAAAGTAAGTACTTTTCAGATCGATAACTGGTATTGAATTTTTTTTAGAGGAAAATACATACAACTGAGAGAACCTTTAATTAACTTTATTCATCAAAATGAAAATTGAAAGAGCTTTTACGATGTTGGCTTTATTTGGCCATGTTTAAACTTCTTCTTTGATTGGCTTCATTGTTGGTATTCTTGATATTGTCAGTAGTGAAGTGGAGGGGAGAACTCAATAAAGAGCGCGTCAAAAGGCTGTTTGCAAGGCTGCTCCTTTTAACGTATCAGCAGACACATTAGGAAACTAAGTCTGAAAACGCCTTGGGGCAATGTCGCTCGTAGTTGCACCAAGGGTTTAATTTTGAAACGAAATAATCAAAGGCAAACACCACGGATTAATTCAATATATATAACAAAGTGGCTTTATTAGTCAAATTGGTGAAATGTGTATTGTGATTTTTGGTATACAATATTACCTTGAGAAATACGCAGGAGTAGTGGCTGGATCGCTTCCGGTGTGGTCGAAGTGCTCGATAGAAGTGACCGAGCTTAATCTTGAGCAGTTAAGATTGACCTCCAAGCAACAAACTGTTTGGAGGGGAAACTTAACGAAGTTTTATATTCAAGTGCATCCGTTGCACATTTATGCAATTTTACATTAGGGTGGTTCACCCTTTTAAGTATTTGGTTTAGCATGGAAGCCTAAACATGCCGGCCCCCTTGCTATAAGCAACAGCAGTAAGTCGAGTCAGCCACCATTCCCTCACATGAGCAATTAAAGGAATTGTAAATATTAAAAAAAAAATTGTTAAATGAAATCTTGATTGAGCTGGATACGTAGTCATCACCATTGATGCTCGTTTCGGATTTCTCAGGCTGTGGGAGATAAGAGATTAAATAAAACAGGACATGGCTTGACATTTCAGTGCACAATTGTATATGTATTTATTCAAAAT